AACCTCCGTCTCCTGGGTTCAGGCAATTCTCCTGCCTCAGCCTTCTGAGTCGCTGGAATTACAGGCACGCGCCACCATGCCCAGCTAATTTTTTGTAGTTTTAGTAGAGACGGGGTTTCACCTTGTTGACCAGGATGGTCTCGATCTCTTGACCTCGTGATCCACCCGCCTCGGCCTCCCAAAGTGCTGGGATTACAGGCTTGAGCCACCGTGCCCGGCCTTATGTAACAAATTTTAACAATTTAAATTGCACAATTTTAAACTGCTTGATTAAAAATATATATTGTCTGAATTTTATCTGGGGCTAGGGGGTGTAGAACTCTGCCCATACTATAGTACTTATTTCTCTGGGAGAAAGACCACAATTAGCAAAGTAGAGATCTGGGTTCTCCGGCTAGCTCTGCCTCTTACTAACTATAATCTTGTGTTTCTTAACTTTATTTAGGCCTTAGCCTCCTCTTCTGTAAAATGGGCCTGATCATCCCTGTCTGGGTGATGGAGAGTGTTAAGTAGGGATACAGGCACCTTGAAAGCTGCCCTGGGTCATAAATATATCAGGGAGGTTTGTATCATCTTAGCCAAGACAGCTGCTCAACATCTGGGATCAGAAGGCAGTTGTAGCTTGACACTGAGGCCTCTGTGCCGAGTTGGAAGACACAGCAAGGAGCAGCTTCTGAAAGATGAAGAGGCTAATATGTTTACAATTCTGAAGGACCTCCTAGATATGAAGAGAAGAGAGAAAAAGAAGAGCAGGAGGCCGGGTGTGGTAGTTTACTCCTATAATCCCAGCACTTCTGGAGGCTGAGGCAAGTGGACTGTTTGTGCTCAGGAGTTTCACAGAAGCCTGGGCAGCATAGTGAGACCCTGCCTCTACTAAAAATACAAAAATTAGCTGGGTGTGGTGGTGTGCGCTTTAGTCCCAGCTACCCAGGAGGCTGAGGTGGGAGGTTGGCTTGAGCCCAGGAGGTGGAGGCCGCAGTGAGGCTGACATCGTGCCACTTCACTCCAGCCTGGGTTGACAGAGCCAAACCCTGTCTCAAAGAAATACATAAAAATAAAGGAAAAAAAAAAAAGAAAAAGAAGAGCAGAAGATAGTGTACCTTCCTCTCTGTACTCCACAGTGTAACCAGAAATAGTGCAGTTTCCTGTGCTGGAGGGGGGCAGCCAGCGGAGAATCACGGAGGTGCAGCTTCTCTCCTGGGCAATGGGACGGTTAGGGGCTGCTGGAACACCTGTGGAGACAGAAGTCAGGATCAGGTGCTATTTCTGCAGAACTTGGCATTTTGCACCAAGGTATAAGGTCATAGAGGAAACATTCCCTAACCCATGTTGCAATTTTTTCCTATGACCTTCTCCACCAAGTGACATACCTTTCTCCAGGAGACACATCATGCTGTCTAAAGTTCTTCCTCGGGCTAAGTACTATACCCTGAAGATGATGCTTGGCCAGGGAACTAACATGTTGATGGGAGGTTTATGGTAGGCCACACACAGCTCTTAGCAAAGATTCGTTCTCTTCTCATTTGCCAGAACTTTGGTTTTGAATTTTTACAATGGACATTTTCTCCCCCAGGTTGCAGGGAACGCTTATAATGTTCACTTAAAATGTAGGGTCAGGTGTGGTGGCTCACGCCTGTAATCCCAGCACTTTGGGATGACAAGGCAGGAGGATCACTTGAGCACAGGAGTTTGAGACTCTATCTCTACAAAAAGTTAAAAAAATTAGCTGGGCATGGTGGCACATGCCAGTAGTCCTAGTTACTTGGGAGGCTGAGATGGGAGGATAGCTGGGGCCTGGGAGGTGGAGGCTGCAGTGAGTGGTGCCATGCTGTTGCACTCCAGCCTGGGCAACAGAACAAGACTGTCTCAAGAAAAATAAAAGTTTGACTAACACAAATTGGTAGAGACAGAAAGTAGAGCAGTGGTGGCCAAGAGGCACTGGGGAGGAAGGAGTGGGGTCATTGTTTAACAGGTGCAGATGCGGTTTCAGAAAGATGGGAAGATGAAAAAAATTCTGTGGATGGATGGTGGTGATGGTAACCCCAAAATGTGGATGTACTTAATGCCACCAAACTTAATTTATAAACTTATTTATACATTTTATTTATATACATTTATTTATATATTTTTGAACTGTATGTTTTAAAACGGTTAAGGTGGAATGGGCACAGTCGATCATGCCTGTAATCCCAGCACTCTGGGAGGCCAAGGTGGGAGGATCGCATTAGCCCTGGAGAATGAGATCAGCCTGGGCAACATAGCGAGACCCCATCTCTATTTGAATTTTTAGAAAATGGTTACAATGATAAATTTTATTGTGTGTGATTTACTGCAATTAAAAAATAAACGTTTTAAAAGGTATCGTAGGCAACACAGTGAAATCCCATCTCTACAAAAAATGCAAAAAAAAAAAAAAAAAATTAGCGGGGCATGGTGGTGCATGCCTGTAGTCCCAGCTAATCCGGGGGCTGAGGTAGTAGGATTGCTTGAGCCTGTGAGGTCAAGGCTGCCATGAGCAGAGACCATGCCTGAGCCACAGCAAGAGCCTGTCTCAAATAAATTATTTAGGAAGGTTTGACTAACAAAGAGGCTCTACCTTGCACTTTGACTGTTGCAGATGTTGATGTGGTCCCGTGGTCATTTGTTGCTATGCAGGTATAAATCCCGCTGTCTTGGGGCATCAGATTGCAGATCTTCAGGGTTATTTCTCCAGAATCACTAGGGACACCAAAAGGATGCTCTTTAGACTCCAGTGATAAGACACTTGACTGCTGGGTAAAATCTCATAGGGTTGGCACATGGTGTGCTGAGCAGAGAGTTCTGTGGCCCAAGGTCAGTCCCTAGTCTGCGAGCTACCTACATACCTTGGTGATCACTCTGTCTCCCTACATCACCAGTTGTTTCTATCAAAAAAAATTTTCTGGCCACGCCCATCTCTCAAGTTTGTTATACATGAGGAGTAGAATAAGAAATAAAATGACATAAGAATTAGAGCATGGTTTGAAATATACAAAGTCCTATGCAAGTTCTGGCTCACAGTATTATTAGTATTATTATCACTAGCAACTTTGTCCTGGAATATTTTCAGTTTCACAGATCGATAATGAATGACTGGCAAAAAAAAGGAAAGAAGAAGAAAAATGTTTTAAGTATTTCAAATTCTATATGTGGTATCCTCAAAATAATCAGGTGAATTTCTAAGAAAGGGTAAATTCCGTCACCTAAATGGTAATTTCCCCATTCATCCCAATATAAGGTCCAGGAACATCCCCAGGGGAGATCTGCTCTGAAACACAGAAGTCACAGTCAGCCATGCCCCTTCCCCAGGGTTATGATATACCCTGGAGCTCTTCATGATCCTCACCAGCCACTGCCTCTCACACTAGGCTTCTTGGACCCACTGGTATTTTATGACCTGGCCAGGTGGTCTCTGCTGGGAATACCAAGGAATGATGGTCTTTTTCTATTTCACATACATGCAAATTAAGTCAATGAATGAAAGTTTCTTGATTCTAGGTGCTTCTTCCACTAATGTTTCTTAAGCATCTAGGGCTTGCTACCGCTTGTCCATTGTAAGCAACAGTACACAATCCAGTTCATAATCAGTAACGACAAATGTTGACAGGATGACTGGGAGGCAGTCAGCCAAGTTTTGTTAAATGGACTTTTTGTGTAGAAGCGTGCCTGCAGCTTGATTTTCTATTGCACATTTTGGAATGAGTCATTTCTTTTTCTAATAACATTGTTCTTAGGCAAGGAATTAAACATCTCATTGTTTTACAGCATCCTGAAGGGCACCAAAAATTTCAGGATGTGCAGATTTGAGGACTACATTTTTACTACAGGTCTAGAGCCTTTACCATTTCATCAGAAGTCTGAATCTTCTGACTTGGAGATTTACTTGGGGATCTGTAGGGAAAGATCGTCTTCCAGGACGAATGTAAGGCAGTGACTATGAAAACTCTTCCTAAGTATGGTGCATGCTTGACCTGAGATATAAAGGTTTATGTTTTTCCCTGTTTGTTTAACGTGGGTCCAGAGTGCAGTCTTTGCAAACCATTCTGCTGGTCCCAGGTACGTCTACGTGGTGCTGAGCACCGTGGGAAATGTGTGCTGGTGCTGCCGCAGGTGTCCATCAGGCTGCAGCCTGAGCGGCAGAGGCTGTGACTCTCGCAGCACTGAGTCCCCTCTCATGTTTAACTCAGTCTCTCTCCTAACCAAGGCCAAGTGTTTGAGCTAGAACAGGCTCCAGGGCAGCTCTTCTCTTGCAGAGCCAGTCACCAGAGCAGAAGCTGCATTCCACATTCAGCCTCTCAGTGCTCTGCTAAGGGGCTGCTGGTGCTGGTGTTAGGGCAATCAGCTTACCAAGAGGAGACGCTGTATGTGGCCGAGCTGTTGTCAGTGTCAAGGATGTTCTGGTCTGGACCCTTCCAAGTGATGGTGGGCTTCGGCCGCCCACAGACTTTGCACTGCAGTATTACTGTGTCCCCAAGCAAGCAGGTCACATCCACCAAGGGCACAAGGAATTCTGGGGCCACTATAATCAAATCAACATACATTCACATCATTCAGAGAAAACTTAGAACAAAACAGCCATTTTTTAACACACCACTCTCATTTCCCACCTATATCACGTAATGATTCAAATAACCTTCAGCATAACACTGGAGAGTCATCTGGGTCTCTTTAAAAAGTGTTAAAAAGTAATAACTGTTTATTGTAGAAAAATTAGGAAATACAGACAAAAAGAAAATCTCCGTAATGTCATAATTCAGAGGTTATTACTGTGAGCATTCTGGTATATATCCTTTTCGGCTTTATACAAACAGATTTCTTATAAAAATGGGATCCCATTATATATATTGCAAGTTTTAGTCTTTTTCAGTTAACAGTCCATGATAAATATCTTTCCTTGTCCATTAATACAGAACTCGATCACCACTGCTTGCAGCCAGTGCTTCAATGCTAGATTAACTATAATTTATTTAACCAATCTCCATGTTCCCAATCTAATGCTTTTTAACTCACCTTCTTGGATGAAATTTGGATTTAAGATCTGAAAAATACAAAGAAACAGAAAATTGCTTGAATCCTAAACTATTAGAACAAGAGACTTCACCCAATTGAGTAAAAGGAAAGTACAATTTAGGGAGGTGAGACCTGGAGCCCAACTTCCCACTTTGTTGTGACTGTATTACCGTCACAGTAACAAACCTCTCTTTAGCAACAAATGACACTTGGTTTACGCCGTCTAATCTGGCTGTTCACATTCCTGCCTGGCAGCATGCAGCCCCAGGCAGGTTTACTGTGACTTGGAGCTCTGCTAGCAGAGGTCTTTTTTTTTTTTTTTTCTTTTTTGAGCTTTTTGCTGCAGCAGACCTTTCTGTCCTTCCTCCTCTCAGTTGCTTTTCTTCCATTCACAGGCAGAAACCCCACTCTCCTGTTCATTATACACTCAAGCAATGTGGTGGCATTGTTTCTTCCTAATATCACAAACTCAAAAATAGAAGACCTGAGACCTATCAAACTGGAAGGGTCACTGAAATTCACTAACCTAGCGTTTTCCTTCCAAATGTCCTCCCTTTACCCTTCACCCATCCCCAGGCAGGGGAAATGTCTCCTCAAGCAGCTAAACAAGAGCTTCTCTGGTTGAAGGAGAATAGGAGAAGTCCTGTCTGTCTCTTCTTTCCCAAGCATGATCGCCTATAGCCCAGGGCTGCATGGGGCAACTTGAAGCCACTGACCCAACCATTCTGACCCTGCCCACTTCATAGGTGAGAAAATGAATACTAAGTGACTAAGCCAACTAAGTCCAGTCACAAGGCTGAGTCAAGGAAGACACTGCTAGGGCTCTGTGTATATACCATGCTGCCTGCCTCAGGACACCTTGGAGATTTCACAGCAGGAAAAACATTCTAGCTAACTAGCTATTCTGGAAAACTACCTCTTCTTGAGAAGATGATCACTTTCCCCCTATCTTTTGTATTACTGCTAATCGTGCAAGTCCAGATTGTACAGCCTGGCATTGTTAAAACGGCATGGACTTTGGAGACAGGCTGAGATAATCTGTTTTGTTTAATGTGATTCCATGTTAATTACTTAATAACTGATGCTCCACTATAACATGGGATAAATAATACCTAGTATAAAGTGTTATCACAAAGATTAAATGAGATTATGTACGTCAAGTGCTTAGCACAATGCCTGACAAATAACAGGTACTCAATACCTATTTAAATGTAATCATTTTCCTTCTGCTAAGCAGCCTGTTATTAACGTGGCTTATCTCTAATCGTTTATTTGGTAAAATTCTTCTTTCCTTTATAATGAGGCCAGAAAATTCACATGCCTTACAAAACAGCCCAACTGGGGCCTTTGTCATTATTTCCCTGTATTTATGCATATCATTGTGAACATGCATGGTTTCTGTGTGTTCTCCCCTTATAGAGGAATCCATATAAGCTCTTTGGAAGAAAGACGTGATTTCCTTCTGTTTCCCCTTTGCAAATCAAGTGCCCACTTATACCACCGAAGTTTTGCACAAAGTGGGCTGCAGAAAACCCTTGTGATGCCAAGTTCTGGGCTGAGTGTCCCAACTCCGGCCACTGCAATGCCCTCTGATAGTCTCAAAAGACCACTTACACCTCTCCTTAGCCTGTCTTTAAATCAGTGGTTCTCAACACCTGACCTGGGCAGCCTTAAAAACACAAGAGGCCAATACCTGGGCCTCATGCCTAGAGTTTTTGTTTTAATTGGTGTGAAGTGAGGCCCAGGCATTGGGATTTTGTTTTAACTCTGTAAAGTGAGTCAACATGCAGCCTTGTTAATAATGAACCTGATGAAAGCCCCCCTCTATCCCAGGGAACTGATCTTGGATAAACCAACTTCCTGCCTCAGAGACTTCTCTGGGGTGGGGTAGGGGAGTGGATGAGAGCATCTGGTAGGAGCTACCGCATTTCTTACACTTAAAAGAGTCCTCTGTGTGAAAAGATTTCCAAAGCATGGCATGGGGAAGGATGTGAAGGGTTGCTCCACTTGAGCTATTGAATCAACTATGAGCAGCACTGCACCACCTGTAGGGGATGCTAAAGAGGCCAAATATTTCTCTTTCTGGTTTAGATGAGGCAGAGAGAATGGCATCCCAGTCAGTCATTTGACAGTCAAAGAAAAGAAGGCTAAGAATATTTTCTAAACGTTAACAGTGGTTACCTCACGGTGGCTTCCTCCCCATTCAAAAAACATTAACTTCTGCTCTAAGATCTGTGTACAGTTTTGTGGATAGGGAAATACTAAGACACAGGCTCTACCCTTGGGATTTATAAAACATCTTAATTTGGGGGTGACTGTTTTTTCCTTTCTTTTCTTATGTGGGCTTCCCAAATATTCTGCAGTCAGCATGTTTCACTTTCTTAATAATTATTTTTGAAGGAAAAATGGCACAGTCAGACCTACTAGTCTGTGAGCTCTTTAAAGACAGGAGCTATTTGTCTGTCATTCACCTCTGTACCTCAGGGCCCTAGCCCAGGATCTGTCACACAATGGTATTTAATAAACGTTGGTGAATACATATTTGATCTTTGACTTCATTTCAGACATTCCAAGAATTTAGGACTGGTTCATAAGGAGAATCTCAGAATAGGACCAATGTTATTAGTCACATACTCAGAATACCCAGTTCTGGGTATATGACCAATAATACTTGACTAGAGCCTGTTGGCAAACACAGATGGATGCAAAATTTTAGAAAATGTTTCACAAACAACATAATCCATAGCTCCTGAGAGAGGACGTTCTTAGCAGCACGCTGCGCAGAAGAGAGCGTAAGCTCAGGGAGCAGACAGAGCATGTAGTACCCAGACTTAAAGACAGACACACTCTCTTGCCTTGGACAACATTCTTAAGCAACTCCTGCCTCAGTTTTATCTGTGAATTGGGGATAAAAATGGCCATGTGGAAGGGTTGTTTGATGTAAGGACTCAATTTACTTGATGAAGATTTACTGAGCTGACCTTGGTGAGGTGGTGGTGACCGGGTAGGGAGTAAGGCAGACATGCTCACCACCCTCAGTGGCCAGCAGTCTTGTGGGAAAGATGGAGTTCAACAACATTTGCATTTGATGCAGCGCCTGACAGATGTTAATGACCAGCTTTCAACAAACATGGAACATTACGCTCCACCTGCTGCCCCCAATCCATCAGAAGGACTCTGGGGTGGAAATGATTTGATAATGCTGCTAACTCGGTTCAATGACCTGTATTTCCCATCATGATGGGAACCCACAAGGAAGTAGGGCATGGAGTTCACGACAAGAGTCTCAGAGAGGAGAAAGCTAACAAAATGGAAGAGACAAGTAGCAGGCTTATATGTGATACGATTTTAAGTAGGGCTTCATAAACAGTTTACTTCATAAACTGTGGCACTTATAAAACCTACACTTTTATAAGAAAACACGCCAAAGTGCTGCTTAAATCACTTCTTGCCTTACTCCTCTTTTTCATCACATAACCCCAACTGTGCTAAGTATATTATTAAACAGACACACTGTTTAAAAAAGCAAATATTGGTCAGGCGTGGTGGCTCACAACTGCAATACCAGCACTTTGGGAGGCTGAGGTGGGTGGATCACTTGAGGTCAACATGGTGAAATCCTGTTTCTACTAAAAATACAAAAATTAGCCAGGCATGGTGACAGGTGTCTGTAATCCCAGCTACTCGGGAGGCTGAGGCACAAGAATCGCTTGAACCCAGGAGGTGGAGCTTGCAGTGAGCCAAGATTGTGCCACTGCACTCCAGCCTAGGTGACAGAGACCCTGTCTCAATAAAATACTAAAATAAAATGAAATGCAAATATTGGCCAGATGCATTGGCTCCTGCCTGTAATCCCAGCACTTTAAGAGGTCAAGGTGGAAGGATTGCTTGAGACCAGGAGTTCAAGACCAACCTGGGCAACACGATGTGTCACTAAGAAACTTTTTTTAATTAGCTGGGTGTGGTCCTAGCTATAGACTGAGGCAGGATAATCACTTGAAACAGGAGGTTGAGGCTGCAGTGAGCCATGATTGTGTCACTGCAGTCGTCTGGGTGACAGAGGGAGATCCTGTCTAAAAAAAAAAAATCCTTTCTCTTTTTTTGAGACAGAGTCTTGCTTTGTTGCCCAGGCTGGAATGCAGTGGTGTGATCTCAGTTCACTGCAACCTCTGCCTCCTTGGTTCAAGCCATTCTTATGCCTCAGTTTCCTGGGAAGCTGGGGCTGTAGGCAAATACCACCACACCCGGCCATTTTTTTGTATTTTTAGTAGAGAGCGGTTTCACTATGTTGGCCAGTCTGCTCTCAAACTCCTGACCTCAAGTGACCTGCCCACCTCGGCCTTCCAAAGTGCTGGAATCACAGGTGTGAGCCACCACACCTAGCCAAAAGCAAATATTCCTAATTTGAGTGTAGTCCTTAGCAGAGACATTGGAGAGAAAGATTACCAGTAAGTCTTAATTATAGGCTCTCCAACTGGAAGGAGGCTCATGCAAGTCTTGGTCTTCATTCCTCTGCCTTTTGGCTAGCCCAGGTGAGGAGAGCCCACGTTGACACAAGGTGTAGCTGATAATGGTAACAGCATCACTGATTTGGGTAGCATTATGTGGTTGGCCTAAGCTACTCACAAAGTCCTTCATGTGCTCCGCCAAAACTTCCTCAAGTGCAGAGCAAATGTTATTTATCCCCATTTCCTAGGTGAGATAGGGAAGTGAAGTGTTAAGATCACAGCAACAGAGGACTGGATCTGAGAGCTCTTGAATTTTAGTCCGGTGCTCCTTCCATCACAGCATTCAGCAAAGTGGGAGGGTCTTAGGAAAAGCATTGCGAAAGTTTGTCGTTGACATCAAAGGCCTATCTGCTTATCTTTGCTCTCCATCCCTTTCCCCATCCTGTCTCTACTCAGTCCTCTTCTTTAAAATCCTTCAGCAAGGACCAAGACCCTAGGGAAGGTCCACACTAATTTTTTTTTCTAACATTGACTCTGGACTATGGCCATTAGAAGATTTCTCCCTCACTTTTTCTCTTTC